TGTGAGAAGAGTTTTCAAGAATTGAAAGATATACTCACGTCAACCCTATATTGTCAGTGCCAAAAGGATCGAATGTTTTTGCGGTTTATTATGATGCTTCACAAATTGTTCTTGGTTGTGTTTTGATGCAACATGGGAAAGTCATTGCTTATGCTTCAAGACAATTAACAATGCATGAGAAGAATTACCCGACTCATGATTTGAAGTTAGCAACGATAGTGTTTTACCTAGAGATTTGGAGACATTACTTGTAAGGTGTTCATGTAGATATGTTTACCGACCACAAGAGTTTGAAATATGTTTTCACTCAAAAGGATTTGAATCTTTGTCAAAGGAAGTGATTTGAGTTATTGAAGGATTACGACATGAGTGTCCTCTATCATCCCGAAAAAGTGAATATGGTGGTCGATGCTCTTAGTCGACTATCAATGGGAAGTGTTGCTCATGTAGAGGATAATAAGAATGAGTTAGTTTGTGATGTTCATAGATTGGCCCGATAGGGTGTTCACTTGGTTGATTTCAATGAAGGTGGTGTAGTTGTTCATAATGGTTATGAATCCTCTTTTATATTGAATATGAAGGCTAAGCAAGATCTTGATCTGGTATTGGTTGACTTAAATAAGTTAGTTTTCGAAAAATCCATTCAGGCTTTCTTCCAAGGAGGAGATAGTGTCTTTCGATATCAAGGTCAGTTATGTGTTTCAAGTGTTGATGAGTTGAGGAATCAAATTTTGACAGAGACTCACAATTCTCAGTATTCTATTCACCTAGGATCCACCAATATGTACCGTGATTTGCGAGATGTCTATTGGTGGAATGTGATGAAGAAGGATATTGCGGGATTCGTGGCTAAATGTCTGAATTGTCAACAAGTGAAAGTTAAGCATAAAAAATCGGGTGGTTTGTCTCAAAAAATCAGTATCCTTACATGGAAGTGGGAAGATTTAAACATGGACTTCATTACGGGCTTACCTCACATTCGTCGATAGTTTGATTCGATTTGGGTCATTATGGACCGAATGAAGAAATTGGCTCACTTTCTTCCTATTTAACTTCATTCTAATCAGAAGATTACGCCAAGCTTTATATTCGGGAAATGGTAAGGTTACATGGAGTGTCTTTATCAATTATCTCCGATCGTGGTACTCAACTTATATCTTAGTTTTGAAAGTCATTTCAGAAAGGTCTTGGTACTCAAGTGAAAATTAGCACGATTTTTCATCCTTAGACCGATGGACAAGCCGAGTGTACTATTCAGACTTTGGAAGATATGCTAAGAGCTTGTGTGATCGATTTCAAGGAAAGTTGGGATGATCATTTGCCTTTGATTGAGTTGTTTATAATAATAACTATCAGTCTAGCATTGGGATGGCACCGTTTGAGGCTCTCTATGGTATGAGGTGTAGGTATGTTATTGGTTGTGGTTTGACGTTAGTGAGGTTGCTTTAGTAGGGCCCGAGTTGGTGTACAAGGCTATGAAAAAGCTCTGACTTAATCGTGAAAGGTTGAAAATGGCTCAAAGTCGACAAAAGTCTTATGCCGATGTTAGAAGAAGAGAGATTGAGTTTGAAGTTAATGATTGGGTCTACTTGAAAATTTCACCCATGAAAGGTGTGATGAGGTTTGGAAAGAAAGGAAAGCTTAGTCCCCATTATGTGGGTCAATATCAGATTTTGAGGCGTATTGACAAAGTTGCTTATGAACTTGAGTTGCCTAATGATTTAGCATCGGTACATCCAATATTTCATGTCTCTTTGTTGAAGAAGTGTGTTGGAGATCTAAAATCTATTGTTCCTTTAGAGGGGGAAGTTAAAGGAAATCTTTCTTATGAAAAGGTTCCGATTGAGATTTTAGACCAGCAAGTCCAGAAGTTCATAAACAAAGAAGTTTCTTTTGTGAAGGTTCTTTGAAGGTACCAATTAGTTGAGGGTGCTATTTAGGAGGATGAAGCCAATATGATGTCTCGGTATCCTTATCTCTTTCCCTCCGCTTCTGTTCTAGCTTGAGATATTAGTTCCTCACGGTTCATTCTTTTAGATCCATGTGTTTTAGTCATTCTCATGTTTCCATATGCTTGTATGTTCATGAAGACTCAATTTTTTATGTTACGAGCTAGCTTTGAGTGATTCTCCATGTTTATGTGCATTTGATGAAATTTGCATCCATGATGGGTTGTTAGTTTCTCTCTTACTTTATTCATGCTAGCTTGCGTCCCATTCAAGGATGAATGTTCCCATGAGGGAGATATTGTAACACCTCGGAAGTTGGAAATATGAGAAAGGAAAGAAAAAGTGCAGAAATTCTCTGAAGCATTGGTCTGTGAGAGAGACCTACAACCCGTAGGAATTCCAACGAGCCGTAGGAATGGAATTGCAAGACCTAGAATGGAGTTGTGGAAAATTAAGTTTCTGAAGTTTGACATATGAGTGAACATGATGAACTATAGAAAAATGACGAGTTTAGATGGGTTCCGTAGGAATGTTCTAGACTTAGTGAAATTTTGGACTTAAACTTTGGTTCAACGGATAGGATCTATGAACTGTAGAAAATTTGACGGACCATAGAAAGGCCTCATGGTAAATGATTGAATTTTTGGGTTTCTGAAGTTGGTTCCATTATTGACCAGGTTAGGCCTAGAAACTCTTACGAGTCGTAGGTCATAACGGTAGGAGCCATCTAACAGTTATTTTTAAGGGTATTTAGTCTTTTCCTATGCATCTAATACCTAGACTACGTCGTTTTACCCAATTTCTAAGTCCTATAACTATTTTTTTTTATTCCTAAAACTAGCTCAACTCTCTCAATCTCTCAAATCCCTAAATCTCATCCAAATTCATCCCCTCCAAATCTTCTCAAGTTTCAAGGGAGAAATCTTGGGTTCAAACTTCAAGTCTCTTTTTTCCTCCATTGCTTTTAGGCTTAGAACATCAAGGTATGTAGGGCTTCATTAATGGGTTTCATTCACCCATTAAGCCCTAAGATTTTTTCTAATTCTCTAATTCAATTTCAATCAAGTTGATGAGGTTTTCATTCGATTCTTCATGAGTTCTATTTATTTTGATTCAATTGATTGAATTTGATCTTATTATGATTGTTTTAACCCAATTATATGCTTTCCTATTGAAGTCACATGAATCCATGCATTGATCATGATTTTGACTATGACCCCTAAAAGACATGAAGTTATGAAGGAACTATGAATCTATGATTTGATGTTTTCATGAATCTATGCATGATTTATAAAAAACAAAATGTATTATGACTTAGGTTGCTTTAAGATGAGCATCAATGAAATTGTAAACGGTTTTCTCACACATGTTTTATTCAAGATTCAATGAGCTACTCTATAATGTTTTAAACTTGGACTAGTATTTGAATTGTACTTTCCCGTGGATGATGATATGTTTATGAAATTGACTATTATGTTGAGCTTTAACATAGCACCGAGAGAACTTTAAGGTGGAGGCTCAAATAGGGGAGTCTCTAGTAGCAACCTCTAGTTCCAAACTATGTGCCCCCGTGGGCTTGCCTTAAATGACCTAGCTAGTGGATCCACATATAGCATATGATATGATGCAGAGAACTACCTTGGCAAGTAGACTCTCCCTTCTCGATGTGGGAGTTACATCGGATTTCATGTTATAGCTCGCATGGTCTATTGTCGGTTAAAGCTAATATCCCACAAAATGATCTATGTTTTATATCAAGATTTTAAATGAAGCTTTCCTTATGATTTTAAAATGTGTTGACCATGTTCATGATTTATGATGTTTCTTTAAATGTTTTACTATGCTTAGCTTGGTCATGTATTTCATGTTTCGATTATGTCTTCTTATTATCATGTCTTATGTTTCGTGCATATCTCTCATGCTTAGTACATTCCATGTACTAATGCATACTTGTTCCTACATTGTTTCACTAATGTAGGGTCCGACGATCTTCCTCATCCCGTTAGTGGCTAGTTGGCTTGAGCATTTGAAGTTCAAGAGTTGGTGAGTCCTCATGTTTTGGGGACCATGTTACCTTTACTTCATTGTCATTATGTTTTAGTTTTTAGACATTGTACATGGGGTACGGGTTATGTCCCAACCACTTCTTTGATGTAATAGATGGTTTGTCAAGGCTATGTTAAAATTCCACTTATGTGTCAAACGTTTTACTTTGATATGATTTCTCTTATTTCTATTATATTGTTTGAATGCATGTCAAGTGATTTGTGTAGGCCTCTCGAGGTCTTATACGTCATGTCACGTCTAGGGTGTACTTTGGGTCGTGACATATAATTAGCTTATACTTTAACTCAAGATTTGCTCGGAAGAGAAATCTAAGGCTTAAGATACTCTAATCAACTATCGAATTCGAGAGAATCTATAGAATTTATATGTGATAAATGAATGTGGTCAATTCTGAACTATCATTATGCACTTGTTTCGTCTTGTACCTTATCTTCCATTATTGATATTAAACTTCATAGTTACCAATTATTTTTAATTATCATTTAGTCGATAATAGTGGTTCATAACCACAACCAACTCTCTTCTTTTGATCATCTGAATAATAGTTACCAAGATTTGATTGAATTATTATCTGTACCAATCCCTGTGGAGACGATCTTTATACTATACTATCTTTGACTAGCGAAGAACTAAACTTATAGTGTATTTGTGCTTGTCAGTCAGAAAATTCAAAATAACTAGTTTTAATGGAGCTAAGCTGCTTTAAAATAATATGCCAAACTTCGCTAGAATGATTAGCAATAACTTATAAACTAATGTAAATTTACAATGATCAAGGCCATCAGGTTGGTCTTGCTTACTACCTTTTGCCTCCACAGAGCTATTTCTCACGTTGTTTTATTTAGGTGACAAATACAGAACAATATGGGAACAGGAATGTCATTGTCAAGCTATATTCTACTCCTACTTAATTTCAGTCTCAATGGAGCTCATTTTAACAAGCATCAAATATAACATAACTCGAAATGGAAGAAATATCTACTGTGAGAAGAAAATTTTCTTTTTGGTACAGTGCAGCTATCCATGGCAAAGAGATGTGGATATCCTATTAGAGGGTACAAGGTTGCTACTAAGAATCTCAAAAGGATCATCAAGCTTATGTCCATATTGTGTAATAGTTTCAATCAATTACAAAAACTTGGAAAGAAATCCTGCCGGACAGATAAAAAAACAACTGAATACATGTCCATCGAGCAATATTCAATCTTCCCTTAAAAGCAGTTTGGTTGATCAGCAAAGGTCAGCTAGGAGATTAACCATCATGCCTGACCATTGGACCAACTTGAAATCTGCCTTGTAGCTCATTGCCTCTTCTTCGTTCACCAACAAAGGAAAGAATCGAGGCAGAGAGGATGCATAAATCATTTCCATTTACTTAGCCCACTGCACAGCCAAAAAGAGGTTAAGAGTTTTGCTAGGTTGACCTTCCTCCGAATGCCTCTTTCTCTTCTCTCAAGTATACAACAAACAAGTGTGCTGAGAGTTTCTTACAGGTTACAGCAAGCTTATTAAATTACATTGGCATATCTCTGGCTTTACTAATGCTGCTGGCTCAATAGTAGCACTAAGTCCAGTGCCGAATGGATCGGTCAATCCCACAAGACACAAATGCAGCTTCTACTGGGGAATACTCAAGCCAACGGGGTGCACCAATATGGTTGGAGGGCCATCTAGCCACTATTTCTGTTGTCAGAGAATCCCAAGCAACAATCTGTGACCAGCATCCTAATTAATCTCCGTAGTGTTACCTGTGTAAGTATTAAAGAAAGACAAACTTACCTCATTTAGAGATTCATCAATTGATAATACAAATTCTTCTGTATCATTGAAAACAGCCTGCATTGAAAGAAATTTTCAACTGTCAATTGTCAACAAGAATGTGAGAGCATACAAGTAAAAATATCAAAGCTCATAGTAAAAAACAAAACAAGAAAACAAAAGGAAAACACTTTGATTGGTGCATATATAAAATGCATCCTAATTACAGAAGATGAACATGAATATGCGGAAATCCATGTGGAACACTTTCATTAGGTGTTCTCTCTGACTATCACATCTCAAAATTACCTGAACTTCAATCAAGAAATTATCATAAGTTGACAGATTCCTACATCTTAAGCAAAAAACTATTTTTCCTTTCCATGTGACAGAATATTGGATTGAGATGGGTCTAAATGGGGTACCTGGATAGGAAGATTCATATAGACGACCCAACTAGCTTGGGATTGAAGCATAGCTATTATTGTTGCCATGATACTTCAAATGTATTAGCTTCTATTTTATTAATGCAATTCCATAATGATCATGATAGTTACGGAATATCTAAGAAGCTGTTACGAATCCAAGTAGAAGCTTTCACAAGAATGATAAACGACACCAGCAGCCTTGCCATATGATACCATGTATTGCATATTCAATAATGAAAAGCAGTCGATATTTGCATAAATATGTAACTCCAGATTATTGCTTCTGTTTAAGCCTATATCGGCTTAACTACAGGGAGCAGCCAAATTAGGCTTTGCTAATACATAATTAAAAAAAAATGTTCATCAAAATAATAGATAGTAAAAACAGTGACATGAAACATGAACTCTTCAAAGCAAACTGTGTGAGCCTGACATACCTGGCAGCGCAACTGTGTATGTGTAGCTCCAAGATATTGTTTGACCAATCTTCCTGTGCCAACTTCCCAAAGCTTCACCGAAGAGTCTTTTGCTGAAGAGAGGATATACCTAGGACATATTTAGAATAAACAAACTTCAGTAGACATTATAGCCCTATATACTATAGCATGCTGTGCTACCCTGTACAAATCATTTCAAAGGTGTTTTAACCAGGAGACTTAAACAAGTAACTGGCGGATTAGTGGGATGCTTCCCAATCTGCATTTGTTGAAGGGAGAAGCATTATTGATAGTATATTGTTTAGTCATGAGATTTTAAAGTGCTATTCTAGGAAATGGATTTCTCCAAGGTGTGCTCTCAAGGTGGACCTAAGGAAAGCTTATGACACTTTGGAATGGGGCGTTATAAGGAAATTGTTAATAGACATGGGGTTTCCTGCCAAATTTATACATTGGATTATCACACATGTGTCTATAGTGTCCTATTCCTTGATGCTTAATGGAGGATTGACTCCTCCTTTTATTGCCAAAAGAGGCATTAGACAAGGGGACCCTATGTCCCCTTATCTTTTTGTCTTGGCTATGGAGTACTTGGGAAGAAAGCTGAATCAATTAGCTAGGAATGGGAACTTCAACTTTCACCCAAGGTGCAGGAAGTTGGGCAGTGTACATATTTGTTTTGCAGATGATCTATTGATGTATTGCAGGGCTGACATTATCTCTGTTAGGTTGCTAAGGGAAGCATTCACGAAGTTTCCCAAGGCATCTGGATTACAGGCTAATGTAGATAAAAGCTCACTATATATTGTTGGGGTTGCCAATCACACAAAAGAAGAGATTCTTGAGGAGCTACGATATCTTGAAGGTGTCCTTCCATACAGATATTAAGGAGTGCCTATAGCATCTAAAAAGCTCAGTGTGAACCATTTCTTGCCACTTATTGAGAAAATTACTGCGAAGATCACTTGTTGGTCTGCTACTATCCTATGCTGGAAGAGTACAATTGATCAAGTCAGCCTTGTTTGGGGTGCAAGCTTACTGGTCCCAAATATTTTTGACTCCTAAGAAAGTGATAAAGAGTATTGAACAGAATTGTAGAACTTTCTTGTGCACTGGAAATGTGACCATATCAAAGAAAGCATTGGTTTCTTGGGAGAATATTTGCAAACCTTTTGCAGCTGGGGGCCTGAACATTATAAATTTATGTATGTGAAATAGAGCTGCAATATTGAAACAATTATAGAATATAGCAAGAAATAAAGAATGCTTATGGATCCAGTGGGTACACAACTATTTTATAAGGAAAGTTATTGAAACAATCCAAATACCTAAGAATGCTTCTTGGGTTGTGAGGAAGATATTGGAAGCAAGGTAATGGATACTACAGGGACAAACAACACAAGGAGACTTGAGTTCAGCTTTTGATGAAACCCAATCAGGTGACAATTTCTCCATACACAAGATGTACACAAGACTGATGCCTCAATTTCCTAGAGTTGACTGGAAGGCCATAGCAATATACCCCAGAATTCATCCAAGAGTCAAGTTCTTTGTATGGCTAGCTGTTCAGAAGAGATTAGCAACTGTTGACAGGCTGATTAAGCTTGGGATTCAAGTCCCTCCTGATTGTGCTTAGTGTGGATTGACATTAGAAACATTCAGCCATCTATTCTTTGAATGCCAGGAGGCAAAGGCATTGTGGAATAGATTGTGTGTATGGCTGGGTTTCTCAAGAGCTATTCAGGACAGGGAGACAGAAGTGAAATGGGTATGTATGATGGCAAAGAAGAAGGCTGGACTAGCTGAAGTTGTAAGCAATGTTTTTGGTATGCTAGTGTATGTCATATGGAGAGAAATGAACAAGATCAAATTTCAGAAAGACAGCATGAACACTGATTAAGTGTTGAAGGAAATACCCGAAATAGTGATGCATATGCACATCAAGAGTCAGACCAGGGCAAAATGGATAGCACTTCAACAACTCAATGTTTATCCTTAGTTTCTGATTAGATACAGATAGCAATAGATCACTGATCTATATAGAAAGTACTGTATAGAAGGCTATGGATTAGTAGAATCTGTTTGTATAGATGAGTGAGCAGGTAGTCCAATACTGCTCTGTTTGTAAAGACACACTTTTGGTTAGGAATGAAAATATGCAGTTTACCAAAAAAAAAAACATCAAGACCATCTCATTGTCAAAAAAATTAAAAATATCAAGAATATCTCACATAAAAAGTAAAGCAAGTTCCACGTGTAAATAAGAGATAAAACCTGATGTCAAATAGACCACATAGGGTCGCAAATAACAATTTGATACAAAAGATGAATATCAATTCTTTTTGTCTAAGAGCATGAGCAGTATACCAGATAAACTTGGTAGTCAAGCAAGCCATACTTTACTGGAATTTCTTTGTGATAAAACATGAAGATAAGATTCTTTTTTGTTTTGATGACCGTAGTGTCCGGCCAGCTTTCGCGTACCTCGACTAATTCCTCGAGATACCTATCACCTTCCACCACAAGCGCCAGGTACCAGGTAACTCTGTCCACCAAGTCTAGGAAAGATGGGAAGAATCACCTAGTGTTTTTGTCTCGGCTGGGATTCGAACCTGAGACCTCATCGCTCTCATCCACTTCATTGACCACTAGGCAACACCCTTGGGTGCGACGAGAAGATTCTCATTGGCAGCTCTTTTCATAAGTTCCCCACCCTCCACGACGTAAAAAGAAACAAAAAAACCTATTCATACCTAGGCAGTGGTTCAAGTGGAATAAACCTCTTGTTCTTTTTTCTTTCTTTGTCTTCTTTTCTCTAATTGAAGAAAAAGTTCCTGGTCCTAACTTGTAAGCTGTATCCATTAGGGATCTCTTACCTTTGATCCTTTGTGAAATTTGCACTTGTAGCCTCTGCCGCTCCATGTGCACCATCTATAGATCGCACACAGCTAGCTGTTACCCCATCCCATAACCGAATTGCACCATCTTTGGATGCAGTTACATACATTCCACCGGTAGATGAATACCTAACCTGTAAGGAAATATAATGGTGAGTAAAGAATCCTCTGACCAATGCATACTAGATACCCAATTTACCTGATTAATAGCACCATTGACACCCATATCTTGGAAATTTGGTGGCAGGTAGCATTTGAAAGTGTTAATGTCATATAGGTGGGGAATTGAATGATCAGTTCCTGTAACAACCAACATTATCATGAGACAATTTAGCCAAATCGGCATAATGCAAATCGTGTTCATTACTGCTGCTGCTTCATCTGAATGAGTTAGCAGTAAATGATATGGAAACATAGGACAATAGACAGTCTTATGATACATAATCGAATAATTGGTTCTCTAACCAATTTTAACTGGTTAGATTCCAAGTCTTAAGAAGAAAGCTTACCGTCCACTATGGTGGGAATCTTTATTAACAGTTTTTGTACTTGAAGTAATTTCACTAATGTGAATAATTCCTAATGCTCTCTCTCTCTCTCTTCTAACGCTCAATGTCATTGAACGGTCTTCTTCCCCTCTCCACCTCCCTTGGACCTAACTCCGGTTGGTGACCACCAGGAGGCTGCACCAGTAAGTCATCTTCTCTTCTCTCTCTTCTTCTCAGACCGCTTCTCTCTCCTCTCCACCCCTTCTTCTCTCTGCAGAAACCCTAGCTGCTAATCTAGGGTATGCAACAGTCTTCTTCCCTCTAGACTCTAATTTATCTCTTTTACTTCTTTTCTTTTTTCTCTTCACCAAGAACCATAAACCACCAGCCCGCTGCTGTGGGTTTAGGATCAGCCACAGTCATCGCCCCACCTTCTCTGTCCTCTTGTTCTTTTCCTTTTTAGTTGCTTCTTTCCTCTTCTTTTTCTTTTTCTTTTTCTTCTTTCTTTGTGGTCTGGTAGTACAGGTGCACACTGAGCAGCGAACAGTAATCTCCAGTTGCAGGGGCAGCAGCAGTATGTGTCGGAGCGTGAGCGTCGGCAAATCATTTCAGTCTAGACCAGCAGCAGAGCGTAGATATCTCCGGCCTACACCCACGTTCTATCCGCTAGGAGTTGGTACCTCTGGTTGCACTTTTCAACCCTTATCTTCCACCCTTGTAGAGATATATATTGCAGTAGCATAGTGTAGTGTTGTGCGTATATTCCATTGTCTTAAGACACTTCTCTTTTTGTAGATTAGTGGTAGTGTTAGTTTCTTGCAACATAGGAACTCTGACGAGGAAGTGTATAGAGTTAGTGAAGATTCTCAAGAAGAGGAAGATCAGTATAACTTGTGCTCCGGAGACCAGATGGGTGGGTTCTAAGGCTAGGGATGTTATTGGGTATAGGTTATGATATGCGGGTGGAAGTTGCCTCTGTGGTGGACAAGATATGGGAGGCTAGGCTGACAAGGTTCAGACATGTCAAGAGGAGATGTACAAATGCCCAATGAGGAGGTGTGGGAGGTTGACACTGGAAGGCAGGAGGGAAGGTAAGGACTAAGGGTAGCCGAAGAAGTATGGGGGAGAAGTGATGACATGGCAAGACTTTAGCTTACCAAAGACATGATCCTTGATGGGAGGGTATGGAGGTGAGGATTCGGGCAGAAGACTAAAAATAAATAGTTTTGCATATGGTCTTTCTGGCTAGTAGTATTAGTATTATTTTCGATATTTTTATTATTTTACTTTTTATGTATTGTTATTATTTTTCTACTACTTGTCTTGTATGCCACTATTTTCTTACTATACTGCTATTGTTTATGCATTCATAAATGTTGTGTTTATGCTTTCTCTGAGCCTAAGGTCTTTCGAAAGCTCAGGTAGAGATAAGGTCTGCATACACTCTACTCTCCCCTGACCCCAGTCGTGGAACCATACTGGTATGTTGTTGTTGTAGTAGTTTTTGTACTTCATATTAGGTAGCTACAACTTACAACACCTTTGGATCTATATTTCCTCTTGGTTGGAGTTGAGATCAATCATCGACGAGCTGCCCTCCGGAGCTTCATTTCTCTTTTAAGATTTATAAGCCAACATCACATGTTGATTCAGTCAACCAGGTATCATATCATAGATAGAAGGCTTTTTTTTCTCAACTGCCTTAACATTTAGTTTAATTTTCATTTTTTTTTTAAAATGGTAATTGTTGCTATTTCTATAGCATATGTACTGAAACCCGTATTTACACAAGGAACTATAATAATACCGACTTATCCCTATAATGAATCTAAGACGTCAATGATAGAGACGGTATCATTAGAGTAAATTTGATTACACCAAAAACACAGAGTCAAAATGCAATTCAGTTTAACTTGTTGCATACTATTCTCCCTATTCTCAAAAACTCTAAGGTTCTTCTCTTTCCATATTGTCCACCAAATAGTGGCAGGGACAATTCTCTAGTTACTTCTGTTTTTTGCTTGTGTCCCTGCTTCTTCCCAGCTATGTAGAGCCTCTGAAATTCTCCTAGGCATGGACCAGGAGATGTTTTTAAGTCTCAGGAACAAATTCCACAGCTGGCCAGTGACTTCACATTGGATGAACAAATGATTGACTGTTTCTGCAGTTTTCCCACAGAAAAAAACATCTAGAGCAAAGTGTAATTCTCCTCTTCATTAAATTCTCGTGTCAATACTGCTTCTTTAGCCAATAACCACACAAAGCAAGACACCTTGTAGGGGATCTTGGCTTTCCATATATGTCTCCAGAGCCACTTGAGTAACTGCAGATTTTGATGGTTCAACTTCTTGTATGCTGCACCTACTTTAAAATCCCTTTACTGTTTCCCAACCACTGCAATCTGTCCCACCCTACTTCCAGACCACTAAATTGATCAATGCATCTAAAAAATTATGTTACTCTTGCAATTTCCTAGTCATTGAGGTGTCTTCTAAATACAAAATTCCACCCTTGAGGAGTCCATAAGTCAGCTATAGTACTTTGTTGCTGAAGAACTAAATTGTGGATGTCAGGGAAGAGAGTCTCCATATTTCCTTCTGCATGCCAATCATCCTTCCAGAATCTAGTTTTTATGCCATCTACCATTTTGATCTTGGTGTTAGGTCTGAATTCATTCCAAAGTTCGCTAATGGATTTCCATAAGCTAACACCATAAGGGATGGTAACCTCCTTTGTCATCCAACTATCACTCTCTTCATATTTTGCTTTATGACTGAGCCTTATAAATTCTGATTATCATTTGAGTACTTCCAAAGCCACTTCATCCTCAAAGCTTTGCTCTGGTTCTTCATGTTCTTGATCCCCAGACCCCCAACTCTCTTTTCAGTGATCACAGTTTTCCATTTGACTAAGTGATACCCTCTCCTTTCCTTGTTCCCTTGCCATAAAAATTTTCTCTTGATGCTATCCAACCTATTGATGATTCCTGGTGGGACAGGAAACAATGACATCATATATGTTGGAAGTGCATCAAGCAAAGAATTAATCAAAGTTAGTATTCCCCCTAATGAAAGGTACTGAGACTTCCACCTTGCTAGCCTCTTCTCACACTTCTTAATCACCCCATCCCAGATCTCCATAGACTTGGATTTTTCCCCAAAGGCATACCCAAATATGTGGTTGGGAGGACAGATACTTCACCTCCCAATATTGACTTCAAAATTTCCATGCTTGGTACTTCATTTATTGGATACAAGAAGCTTTTCCTCCGGTTGACATGTAGCCCAGACATAGCTTCAAAAATAACTAGAATGAGTCTTAATATCATTGTATAGAAAATGCTGAACAATTAGTAGATCTTTTAGGATTACTGTAATTAGTCTCTTGTTTTAGCTTGTTACTACCTTTTTGGAGGTCTCCAGCATACCTTAATGCTGAGGAATACAACATTACCAGTTTCAAGAAAAAAAAAAATTTAAGGTGGTCTTCCTCGGCATCACAAAAGATCAGGGTGTCATCTGCATATTGTAAATGAGTGATCTCTAGACATTCCCTTCCAGCTCTAGCAACTTCAAAACCTCTCAGCCACCCTTCATTGCATGGATTCTTGATCATATTGTTGTGTCCCTCCATGACTAGTATGAAAAGGAAGGGTGATAGGGGATCACCCTGCCTAAGACCTCTCTGTGACCTAAAATATCATGTTGGAGAGCCATTTACCAATACTGAGAAGTTCACTGAAGATATGCAAAATTTAACTCACTGTCTCCATTTGTGACCAAAACCCATCTTCTATAGCATACCCATAAGAAAGTCCCAATTGACATGGCCATATGCTTTCTCAATGTCTAATTTGCATAGAATTCCTGGTTTTTTTAGACTAACCTGGAATCTACAGCTTCATTTAGCTATGAGGACTGCATCCATTATCTGTCTCCCTTTAATAAAAGCTAATTGTTATGAATCGACAAGCTTGGACATCACTTTTTTCAGCCTTTCGGTAAGCACTTTTGAAAAGATCTTATACATACTACCTAAAAAAGCTAATAGGTCTAAACCTCCCTTGTTCATGGAAGATTTGAAAATTCTCCATTACGTCACCTTTCACCACCTCCCAGCATTTGATTAAAAACCCCATAGTAAAGCCATCTGGTCCTGGTGCTTTATCAATTACACACTGCTGTAAACACCTTAGAACTTCTTCCTGGTCAAAGCTTCTTTCAAGATCCTTCTTTTCCTCCCCTGTCAACCTTGGGCAATTCAAAAATTTGTTGGCAGGTCTCCACTGCAACTCCTATGTATAAAGCTTCTGATAGAACTCCACTATTTCCCCTTGGATTCTTTTTGGTTCTTGGATAATGTTCCCCTAGACTAGAAGTTGCTATACATTATGGTACCTCTTGTGTGCATTAGCTATCTTATGGAAGAACTTGGTGTTCTTATCCCCTTCATTTAACCAAATTGATCTTGATCTTTGCCTCCAGTAGATCTCATTTTTTATCAAATCCTCCAAGTTCAGAAGTAAACTTGCCTTTTTTGTTGCCTCATCCTCAGTTAGACCTCTATCAGTAGCAATGTTTTCCATAGCAGCCAGCTTTTCAAGTAAAACTCTCCTCTGTCGGACAAGATTCCCTGGCTCACTTCTGCTCCACTCCTTCAATTTGTGTTTCAAGGCTTTTAATTTGGATGCAAGGATGTAATCAGGCCTCCTAATATAATCAATAGAGTTCCACCATATCCTTACGCTGTCAATGAAACCTTCAGTCCCTAACAACCAGTTCTCAAACTTAAAATAGCTCTTGCTCTTCTTCCGGGAACCACCTTGGAGTGTGATTGGAGAATGGTCTGACACTATTCGATGTATAGTGTACTGTTTCAAGTTGCTAAAAGCATCATCCCATTCTTGAGATACCAAGACCCTGTCAATTCTTGAAGCTATCAGGTGGTTATCCCCTTTGAACCAAGTAAACTTTGCATTTTCCAGTTGAAGATCAACTAGGTTTAGATCCTTGATCAAATCAGAGAACTCCCGCATCCCTATTGTTCTCCTTATACAGTTCCTCTTTTCTAAGACATATCTAGCCTCATTAAAATCACCACAAACTGCCCATGGACCTTCTATTAAACCTCTGATAGAGCCAATTTCTTCCCATACTGGTCTTCGTTCCACATAGCAATTTGGAGCATATACTCCTGTTATATGGCATGAGGGTATATGTCCCGATCTCTAAAACTTCCCCTTTCCATATTCTACTAACCCAAAGCATCATTATCCTCCTCTTGTCCCACTAGCTTCCAAACATGCCATTCTGATCCATCTACCACCCCAAATTTGCATTACTAGCCCAGTATGATCCCCCTCTAGTTTGGTTTCTTGAAGACAAATAATGTCAGCTCTCCGTTTGTCCCTACTGTTCAAACCCCTTAGATTCCATGAGACAAGTTTAAATTGCATCAAGAAATAGTTAGGAAGTTTCTCCCCTTATCTCTACACCCCCCACTTTTGAACTTCACATCAAAAGCTACAAAACTTTTCAATTCATTAGAGCCCTTGAACCTTGTCTTCGTGTCTGGCTTGTCTGGCACTGTCCACCTGTAGTAACAGTTCCATAGCTTCCTCTTCATGACCTTGGAAGTCAGCCCCAAACAATTTTCCCAGTTTGATCAAATTCTGTTTCACCCAAGCATAAACTTCTCTCTTTTTCTGTGATTAACAGTTGTTATTGAGTGTATAGTGGCTCTGCTTCTTCGACTTCCCATTCTTCAACAGAGGTCAAAGTTCTTTGGTCTTCAATATTGCATACCTCTTTTTCCTCCCTCCCAATCATCACCTCCCCAATTGGAACTTGTGCCTCTGATTCTCCCATATTTAGCACAGCCACGTCACCCAAAATACTACTCGAATCTGTTGTTGTTATCTCCTTCTCAGTATTCTGTTGTGCTCCTTGCAATGTCTTTGAGCAGAACTATGTTTCTTTATCTTGAAGAATCCAATCTTCTACTGGATTGGGCTGGGTGGAATTGGATATGCTATAAAAAATAAATAGGCTTGTTGGATCTGGTCCATTATACTCTTCATTTAATTGTTCTGGCCTATACCTAAGGCCCATAATAGATTCCTTCATTAAAGAGGTCACACGGTTCTCATATGACTCAGTGGGTACCACCACAGCTGTCAACTTTCCATTCCCCACATGGGTATTTGTACTAGGATCCCTAGTAAAAGGGGATTTTTGTACTGTAGTAGTTACTCCTTATTTTCTCCTGGTCCATAACATACCCTGCTTTCAAATTGTTATCTTCTTCTCCGGCGAGATTCAAAACTTTTTCTAGCAAGATTTCATATCTTGCTTTGCCTTCAACCCATACCAGAAAATGGTATCTGATTCCGCCACGCGAAATCGAAACCTCTTTCGGTATATTTCTACCACTGTTTGCAACCAAAATTCTTGCCCACTTCATATGGTTCTTCAACTCTGTCTCCTCTTCCATTGCCACCCAACCACCACAGAGTTGCCCTATTTCTTCAGATACTTGTTGTGACCACAGATGTAGGGGGATCCCTATAATTTTTATTCCAAGTTTTTTTAACTTCCACAGAGTTCGGCATGCAGCCTACAACTGGGCTCCACCATTCTAGGTTGAAACTTAGGTTTCTCCATTTCCACTAACCTTGAAGAGTTTGTTCCGCCATAAATTTATTGGGAAATTCTGATTTCAGACAAAGAAGGTTTCTCTTTGCTGGCCTTCTCCAGATACCCTACAAGACACCTACCCAAAAGCCCATCCTCTTGCTTTTCTGCTGAGCTTGTCTCCTTGTGGGTTTTTTATAGCCATTTGATGTCCCTTACAGCCTTTGAGTAGGGGTATCCGGAGTTTACAAGTCTTGGTAAACTCGTTGGTATCGACCTTTTGGTGCATTTAATGAAGTTTTCTATCTTAAATGCTAAATCGTACCATCCAGCATTCAAGACTGGTTCTGGAATAATGTTAACAGATCTACCCCCCGCATTAATGGCTACAATGCTCATATATCTCTCATATTCATTATGTTTCCTAGTGCAGAAGTATTCCTCTTTTCTTTCAGTATATCTCCATCTCCTTGTGACTTTCTTATGATCAGTGGAAGCTTTTCTTAGCAGGAAACAGATCCATTCCATCACCTTACTGCTCACGTAGTTCTTCTCATCATTCTTCGACTTCTTTCCACCCACTCGTACCAAACAGAGCCTTCATCATTCCATTTGGTAATATCAAAAGACTTGAAACTAGCATTAAAATAAATCCTATTTTCCCCCATGGCCTGACTAAGCAAGAGAGTAGAAAGAAAAGAAAAATAATCACATGAGGTAATTACCAGAGGCAATAGGTATGCGGAAGGAATTCTGGCGGAAGGGTGCTGGAGGAGAGAGGGCTCTCCCACCTAGAAGGAGGAGAGAGAACTGCCTCGAGAACTGTGCCAGAGAGCATTTCTAATTTAACTTTGTTAACTGTAGTTTAATTTTCATTTTGTGGATGATGTAAATGATATTTTGGATTTCATAGGTTCTGTACATTTGTTATTGGGATGGCTTTACTCCTTCTGTTATTCACAGCATTTCCTTAGTGCTGAGTTTGGTGAATAATACGAAGTTACATTTCTTTGTTCAGCGGTGAATAATGCAAAAAAGAATTACTTAACAAAAAATCAAAGTTACCTGTTTCAAAAAAAAAAAAAATACTTAACAAAAAAGACACCTAAAAATCTAGTTAGAAGTAACTGCACAGAATGGATTAGCACATACACAAAGAATATATTGCATTACGAGATTTGATCACCAATACCGAAAAGATGGACAAACAGATTTTTACACTTCATAGCATAGGCAAAGATTGCTTGTTTTGTTCTGGTAGAAACCTGTAAAAGTATGACTTCCCTATTTCTCTAGTATTTGGGCAAAAGATCATAAGATAACTTCAGGGATAAAAGTTGTCCGACATAGCATCATTAAATCAGGTTTAAATTCACCTCTGAAATAGCATCATCAAATAAGTTTTAAGTTCACCTAACTAGTAAATAGTAGCCCACAGTACAGTATCTAACTTGAAAAGAAATTTACTTGCCTGCCAGAAGATAGTCCCCGGAAGGATGAAATGACACCGACCTTACATTATGTGTATCCTGTTGAAACATTTAATCCAGATCAAGTAGAACAGTTAGTATATTTTCTAAGCTAAATTCAAGCTTAATGTTTGGTTTCAAAATTTAATAACATTTGAGTGACCTGAATCACTCTAAATGCTCTCTTTGCTACTGTTTTGGAAAAATCAAAGAACCTGAAAGACGCCAAAAGGAAAAAGTAGTTGGGTAATATTCCAATGACAAACATATTAGGCAACTTCACAGTTAATAATAAATCCTACTTGATGGTGCGATCTTTTGATCCAGTTATGAGTACTGTATTTTGTGGATGAAAATCCAAGTCATTTATAGGCTGCAGTTATGTACAAGTTTTGGGTAAGAAACAGGGAAAATCCTGACATAGTCACACATCAGAAACTGAGATTCATAGGAATAGAGAGAGAGGAGGTGCTATCAGTAATTAAAGGGAAGCACACCATCACATCGCCAGAGATAATATGACGTTCAACTTACTCAGCTATATACTCCCTTTAGAAAAAATGATAAAAGAGATATGCTCCACTTTTTATATTTTTTTACCATTTTATGAGAGGAGCATCCACAGGCAAAAAATCATACAAACAAGTCCAGTGAACTTTAATTTGGTAGAGTAATCCAGTAAACGTCTTACTTATATAGTGGATAATGAGAGATCTTTTGAACCAATGTTCAAATTAACTGACCTAAAAAGTTTTATACCAGGACACCTGAATCAAGAAATGTAAGTATCACACAATCAAGATCTTACTTGTTGATGATCATAAAAAGTCCGGATAACAGGCCTCACTGGGCCATCCCTTGCTTCTGGCTGCATCATTTGCTTAACTTTTGCAATCTGCACAAGTTAATGCTTTTGCATTAGAAGTAGAAGGATGAAAGTTAAGAGTTCTAAAGAAATGATACAATACCTCAAACAATTTAATTGATGTGTCTGCACTTCCAGTAGCAAGAAATCTTCCATCAGGGCTAAATCTGGCACACCTTGCAACATTCTAAAAGAAAATTCTTGTGTTAAAACTTAATGCTGGAAATTGGCAATTGAAACAAAGACGAGAGCTCATACAACCTACAGATTTGTTTAAGATACAACCTTGTGCTCAGAAATATGTCGTGACTCATGCTTTGGGATATTTTTTGACGGCCCTTTTGTATCGTTCATGCTACTGTTGCAAAGCAAATTGATTATCAGAACTCCAACAAATGACAAGCTTAACATCATTCATAAATTTGTTACAAGAAAGAAGAAACATTTATCACACAGATGCAGATCAAGCCTGCAAATGGTCTTTACATGGTCCAGACAGATAAGTTAATTTATGGTGAATCCTGAAATCTGAAAGTGAGCCCACTCTGGAAATCTTGAGACATTCTTCTTAGGTCAAATGACTATGAGATGCATTTTGATGGCCCGCTATAGTGTATAAGCCACTGCTAGATCTCGTGATGCACGGATCAAAAGGATCTAATGAAGGATCAAACTTACAGTGTCTACAAAGAAGAGTTCTATGATTGACATGATCTAGCTCAATATGAAAGCTGTTACACAATAAAGGTTCACCCTCATGCATAAATTCAGTACAGAACTTAACTTATATACAGAATAAAAATTATGATTGGTTCAAAAGGTGCAGCAGCTAATCAGTTATTGAAAGATGTAAATAATGAAAAAAGGAAAAAAGATGATCAATCGGATACTCTAGTTTTGGAAAAAGATAGTCAATTGGACACTCTAGTTTTTCCATACATAAAAACAGGCGAATCATTCCCTAATTAGTTATTACTCTTGATTACAGAAGATTAGAACTCAAGTATCCAAAACATTTCCCACAATCACCAGATAACTTCCTCCTTTTCACTCATAGTAGAACTTGTCAACTGCATACATCAGCATGGTTGGTCAACCGATAACGCATTAATTGCACTTCAACACTCAAACTTATAAAAGAGAACTTTTAAACCCTTTAGGTTATTAAGAAAATAGTGTGATGGGAGATAAATTGCCTGAAATCAACAGATGCAGCCCGAGGGGCTGGGATTGAGCCATATCCAGCAGTTACGATTGGATCAAAAGGTACAGCTGTAGAAACTCCTCTCAGTGTCTCATCTTTGTCCACTGCAAGACCCTGTTAACGGCTTAGAGTGATAAAGAAGTTTTTATACATCTATTCTCTTACCCCATGTTGAGCAGCTGAAAATCAGTGAAAGCATAACAAAGTCAAACGCTACCAACTGATAAAAACCTTTGCAACCAATTCCAGTAGCTTGTTGGGAGGAGCTTCAACACTCATTGGTGTCATTGTAGCTGAAGCTACAGCACTTGCAGCCTGTCATACATGCATAGCAGAATTCATCAAAACCTCTAAATAACTTAGCTTAGCTACATAACATTTCTATTCAAAACATGTATAAGACACACAAACTGATGTGCTCAACTTTGTTTTTTTGAATCCAATCATAGTGCTAGATCAAGCAGTTAAACCCAGGAAAAGATGACTGTGTTAGGAGACCTCACTTGCAGCCCATATGTTATTACAGATATGTTATGGAAGGTATCCGCATCATGTATCAGAGACAGCAAGAAACATGCAGCACAATGACCAAGCAAAACCAAGAATACATATGTTGGGCTCCGCAAAGAAAAGTTTAAAGTCAAATTTTGTGGAGTTCTTGTAGACACTTCCTTGTTCTAGGGGATAATTGCAGTGTGAACTCTAGAATTTTGTGAAATTCTGTAGCAAGGAAGCTAAGATAGTCATGGGAGATTCATATTACCTGAAACCGCAAAAAAAACATCAAGTGAGGTTTGAATATCAAAAACCTTAGATATGCAACGTAGCGATAAATTACAAATGCCATGATAGCAGTGTTTTGGACGGTGAAAGGCGACAAGGGTCTGCCTCGCCACAAGGCGAGGCACTCGCCTTTTTGAAATGTGATACCAATTAATACCAAAAAGTTAAAATATTTAATTGCATATGTAAATAATCAGATTCTCAATAGCAATAACATATTAGCAAATATTTCAATTCAAAAACTGAAAATAGATGGTACATACTAAAAGTCTAGAACTTGAATGAGAAAAAAAACAGAACAAAAGTCAAAACAGAGGTAGAAGTGACTCTAAAGTATGAAGAAGAAGAAGAAGGAAAAAGAAACCGAGGAAGATGAAATCTGAAGAAGAAATATGTATTGGTTGGACTTTGGAGTAGCCGGAGGAGTCTAGTCGAAAACCCTAAAAGTACCTTATAACTTTTAAAACCCTAAATTGGTTGCATTTTTTTTAAGATAATACAAAAGGCGACACCTTTCCCGCCTTTCTTGCCTCTCGCCTTGTCTCGATGGCGTCGCCTTTTGGAGATTGCCTCGCCACAAAGCTAAAAGGCGATGAAGGGTTGCCTTGCCTCGCCTCACACCATTGGAGATGAGGTGATCGCCTTTCACAACACTGCATGATAGCAACCATGATCATTTGTTCAATCCCCAATAAATTCTCTATAGATAGAAGCCACCTGGAATGCTTGCTGCCCAAGGGCTATTTTGGTCATTTCGGGTAAAATAGTTACTTACTCTGTTTAATTTGTCTGATTTTTCTTTTTAATTTGTTAAATATTTGAAAGTTAGATAAAAATTACAATAATGAGCAACTTAAATAATTTAAAAGACATAAAAAATTCGATTGACTCTTGAAATTCTAAATTGGGACAGAGGAAGTAACATGTTTTATTTGAAATGCCAAAAAAAAATATTATAAATCACAATAATAAATAACTTAATAAAAGACATAAAAAATTTAAATGATTCTCGAATTTCTATTAGTGCCACATAAATTGAGAAATGAGATAGAGAGAGTAACATATATTATTTGAAAATTATGAAAAATGTACTATAATTCACAATGATTGACAACTTAAAATATTCAAAAGACATAAAAAATTTGATTGACATTTGAAATTCTATCAGTGCCATATAAATTGGGACAAAAGAAGTAACATATAAAAATGACATAAAAAGTACTATAAATCACGGTAATTTACAACTTGAAAATTTAGAAGACATATAAAGAATTTGTTGACTCTTAAATTTTATCAGTGTCACATAAATTGGGACAGAGGAAGTAACATATATTATTTGAAAATTACGTAAAAGTACAGATCGTAATAATTAACAAATTAAAATATTTAAAAATTTGAATGTGACATAAATTGAAACCAAAAATAATATTTTGGGCCTATGCTAGCACAGGCTCCTGTATCTAGTATTACAAGACATGGCAAGTCTGTTTAGAATAATTTCTCTTATGGTCTAAGAGGTATGATAAACACGTCACGGTGAGCAATTGAGCATCACGGAGGTATGAAAACAGACCATGAATAAAGGACAAATAAGAGAAGCATTTTCCAAAGCTATGCAACCTTCATAGGTTATATGTAAAAGCTCTTTACTCCAGTAAGTCTAGAACTAATTACAATTGCAATGAGGCAACGAGAATTGTAGTATTTGAGGTACGGCTTAAACACACTTTCTTCTGAAAGACAGTAAGTTGCAATTGAAGTTCCCATTTTCTACAAGCATCCAATTTTGGTCATCGCCAATGTCTGAATTGAACTGAGTCACTCAATCACCTAAGACTTTAAAATCTCTCACCTAACACTCCAAAACCTCTTATGACATAGGGGTACCCTTGACAACTTACTGAATGAATATATAGATCTCAAGTACAAATCTCCAATTACCCCACCCCCACCCCAGCACTAAAGAAGGAATATGTTCTTAATGGCACTCAAAGGTGTGGCCTAGTGGTCAATGGTATGGGTAGAGATTCATGAGGTCTCAATTTCAAATCTCATCAGAGGTAACACAATTAGTGACTACTTCTCATCTGTCAAAGCCTTGGTGGATAGAGTTACACGGTACTTGTGTTGGTGGGAGGTAGCAGATACCCGGTGGAATTAGTCAAGGTGTGTGAAAGTTGGCCCAGTCACCAAGGTTAACATAAAAAAAGATATGATACTATCCATTCAATGTTTGAACACTCTAAATTCTTATCTCTTCCAAATAATTGTTATAGTAATAAATCTCAAATAAAGCAGATTTATGCGTACACAAGTACAAATCAATGCATACATCACCTTAAGAAGAAGAATCCTACCGTTTCTTCTACTTTTCCCTTTCCATTTTCTCCTTTCTTCCAAGGATGACATACTCAATTGTCTTTCCTGGCTATTAATCAAATAACTTTCTTAACCTGAGCAACTATAAACAAGAAACAACTCATTCTAGGATATGATTTGATGCCACGACCTTGTCTACACTATAATTTGATTTAGCTCAAAGGCTAACTGGAACTTCCTTGCATTTAACATTCCCAAACTTGCAGGGCATCAAGTTAGGGAATGGTCACTAAAAAGTATTTTCTAACTTGATGCTCTATCAAATAAAGCCTAATCTCTCACACATTCTGAGAAGTTGTTCATCCATCAAGCACCTAAGGGTGTGTAGCCTAGTGGTCGATGAAGTGGGTTAAGAACCATGAAGCATCGGGTTCAAATCCCAGCCGACACAAAAACAGTAGGTGATTTCTTTCCATTTGTTCTAGTCTTGGTGGACAGAGTTACCCGATACCTATAGTTGGTGAGAAGTGACAGGTTTCGTGGAATTAGTCGAGGGGCGCACAATCTGGCCTAGACACAACGATTATTTAAAAAAAGTTGCCTATCCATTGGTCTAACAATAGCTCAAACAGTGTTGTTGAGAATATAATTAAGCAAATAAAAGTTTGCTCTCTAACAGTTTAATGCTTTAGATGAGATGGTCACATACTTCAACATGGTATCGTAGCAGACAAAGGTCTTGGTACTGAATCTCACCACCACTCATTATCAAAAACAATTTCCACGTGTGTGGCCATGAAAAATGAATTAGAGCCACACGTGAGGGGACGTATTGAGAATATAAATAAATAAAAACATGTTCTCTCTAACAACTTAAACTTTTAGATGAGATTCACACTCTACAAGTGCAACATAAAAAGACTCCCAGAAATCTACCGTGATAAAAAACATTCATATATTAACAAATTAACTAGCATGATGTAATTTTATGTATCATCTACAATTCAATTCCAAACTAGTTGGGATGCCTACATGAATGGTGGTATTCATCATAGTTTGACTATCTTCTACTCCTACCTTCCTCATTTACCTAGGTATAGTTGTTGGGGAAACTACTACATTGAAACTTAATAGATATAAGATAGTAACGAGTAATCAAAACAAATGTGGTGTCGTGGCAAGCTATTGCCTTGAAAGTGATTTTAGTCCGACTAGGATGCACATTGTTCTAATCGGTCGCTCCTCAAGTTTCCACAACACTGATGGCCAGAAGCTTGTAGAAAATGAATTGCCTAGAAAAAAAGAAAGAGAAGAACAAGTGTGGAGAAGAGACAATATTTTTGAGGTAGAGGAAAAGGCTTGCAAATGGTCTGCTTGTATAGACAAATTTCTGGAGTTGTTACAGAGGGGACTAAATGAGTTGTAACATAATTAAAATGGATGTTATGAGAGTGATAATTGTTGTTACGGAATTTATTCTAGTAATGTATCTGGACATATTCTTGTAAGCATGTATTTGGACACTTTCTAGCACGCTTAAAAAGTTAAAATTACTTTTTTCCCAAAACCAAATTTAGATTAGGTCTTCACATATATTTTGCTCGCAGGCGGGCCAAATCAACCAATTTTGCCTTCAAGTCTTTTCTCCTGTGCACAAGGCCTCTCCCACTAACTCTTTACAAGCCCAATAAAGAATTATTTAATATATAAAGAGAAGAAACAAATTATTCTTAATCAATGAGGTACTTTTGTCGTTTACATAAGACAAGTAGTTGGGGAAAATGGACCCACAAAAATTCTTTACTCTTTGTATTATTAAAAAGAAAAAAAGGAACAATTCCAGCAATCCTCCAGACCTCCACTAATGCAAGGGTAAAGAAAAATAAACACTAGTTTAGGTCAAAGGAAGGATATATATTTATGTGTCGATGTCTTTTGATTTGAATTGATACATAGTGACATGGGGCAACAACCAATATGCACAAACTGAAGTACTCTTTAACTGAATGGACTTTAGTTGAGACCCCCACAATACATGTTATCCTAAATTTTAAGCAAACTCCACAATACTTACAAAGTGCGTTTATGGTCACGTCCCTTGAGTGCTTTAGAAAGACAACCCAAATCTTACATAGAAGGCATCTATACTTTTACACTCTCTTAGATGATTCCATCAAGTCTATCTCAATATAGACCACCATAAGGCAATGGAATCATTAAGAGCAAAATAAGCTCAACCTAACAAAGCACTACCACACGCCATAGGAATAGGAAATGTAGTGCATATTGAGGGCTTATATGGCTTCGTTTGACCACAAATGTGTATCCACCATACTACCTCAATCAATGGACTTTAGCCCCATCCCCTTTATGTTTCAAGGATCATTTTCCTTGCCTAACCTTTGGTTAAAGGATCCGCTAAATTTCTTTTAAACCTTACATATTCCAGGTAAACAACACCATATTTCAACAATTGTTTAACTGCACCATGTCTAACATGAATGAATCTCATTTTTCTAGTCACCTATTTCTCGGTAATTCCAATTGTTACTGTGAGTCGCAATGTAGACACAGTGAAGCTTGTTTCCCCACAATGGCACGCACATCTACCAAAAAGTTTCTCAACCATTTGGTCTCTTGCTCTGCCAACTGAAAAGCAATGAATTTTGATTCCGTAGTAGACTATATGATTAGAAATTATAGTCTAGAGAACTTTTTATAGCCTCTTTCCAAAATATAGAATATATTCACTTTTTATAGCCTCTTTCCAAAATATAGCATCTATTCACCTTTTTGATTCATCATAAATCTAGTAGACACTAATTCATCATTTAAAACACCAATGTAAAAATTCTAAGTCAAAAAGTCCATGATAAAGTCAGGACCAAAGCTAGTCTCAACTTTATGCGTTTTACTCCTTCTAAGTTCATTTTCATGTTCATTAGCAATAACATCAAAATAGGCACAACATGAGAATTAACATGCATAGACGTAGAAACATTATTTTGCACATCACTAGGCATATCAATTTTCAAAGGAAAAACATATTCAAAAAACTTCCCATCACTAGATTCCTAAATAGAATTCAAAGATACGATGTAACACTAATTTAAGCCTAAGGAATAAAAAAAGTACCAAAAGTTTTAGGTCCCACCTTTAACATTTTTAACAAAACGGGTAGACCAACCTTAGTCAAACACTCCCATACTTTTAAAATTTTCAAGTTAGGGACAAGCTCTTTCCATGAGATATAGAGTCTTGCCCAACTTCTTTTGAGGAGCTCTATGAAGAACATGGAATGCAAACAAAACAACTTCTCTCCACATGTTGCCAGATTGGGCTTCTAGAGTGTTAAAACTACTTGAACCCTATCAAATCTAAGTGTCTCAATTTTTTCTGTCCAATTGGCTCTCCACTTCAATTTTGAATTTCAAGAACATACTCTCAACCACATTCTTAGAATTAAGAAGATATAACATATTGTATCTAGAGAAATCATCAACAAAAGTGATGTAATACTTCATTTTACCTTTGCTAACAGTGTTCTTCAAAACAGTTAAGCCTGAATGTATTAGTTCAAGCAATTCATTCTTTCAACTAGTAATAGTTTTAAATGGTTTCTTGATATTTTTGTATCTATACATGCGATGCACTGAAAAAAATCAGCCGAATTTATCCCAGGGATTAATTTCATTTTTCTAAGTTTTTTAATAAAAGCAATATTAACAACCTAGTCTACCATGACAAAAGTTAACAAACTCAACAATATAAGCAGATCTAGAATTACTTGCATTATTGACAACTTCTTGAACCATATTCCGCACAAATAAACCTTTATTGAGGTACCCCTCCCCAACAAATCCTTTGTGAGACATTAATTATTTTATCAGCTTCAAAAACAAGTTTAAGACATGCTTTGTAGAGAAGTGCTAGTGAAACTAAGTTTTTACAAAGGGAAGGGAATACAGAACATTGTTCAAGGCCAATGTTTTTCCAGAAGTTAACTTAAGAAAAATTTTCATGTACCCATAACTCTAGAAATGATGGAGCTACCCATGTAGACACACTCATCATCGGTAGACTCCTCAAAATCATGAAACAACTCCTAGTTGATGCAAACATGTCTTAAGGCCCCTATGTCCAATACCCAATCAATCTTGTTAGCAACTGAGTTTGCCTCGACAACAACGGTAACAATCTCTTCATCACCCTCAACAAGGTGAGCTTGGATAGAAGCTTGTCCTCCCTACTTCAAGGTTTGCCCTTATCTTTGATAGCACTAGGCAGCCTTTGCCCAAAATTTGATCTTATTTTTTACCTTTTGCATTAGTGGGGGTTGATGAAATAATTCCTTCCGTTACCCTCAGCAAGATGAGCTTGGATAGAAGCTTTCCCTCCTAGCTTCGAGTTTTACCTTTGTCTTTAATAGCATTAGATAACCTTAGCATTAGTGAGGGATTGTTGGAATTATTTCTTTATTATTTCTTTTCTTTGACATTATTTCTTTTTAAATAATGCAAAGAATAAAGAATTCTTGTAGGTCCGGTTTCCCCGAACTACTTTCTTGTCTTATGTGAGACAAAAGTCTCTCATTAATTAGGAAAAGCTCTTTTTTCTCCTTAATATAAATTGCCCTTTATTGGGCTTGTAACGAGCTAGTAAAAAGGAGTGGTCTTGCGCACATGAGAAGTGGCTTGAAGACAAAACTGATCAATGTTCCCCTGCTTGCTGTATATATGTGAGACCTATCCCAAATTTGATTTTAAGAAAATATTTTTAGTTTTTTTTTTAATTTACATATGAAGTATCCAAATACATGTATACAAGAATATATCCCGATATATTACTAAATAAATTTTGTAACACAAGTCAATCACTATTGTAATAGCAATTTTTAATTAGTAACAACCAAGTTAATTGTGACAATCAACTTAACTTTGTTACAGCTCACTAAGCCTCCTTTATAACACCTCCAGAATTAACCTATATAAAGCAGACCATTTTTGACCTTTTTCCTACCCTAAAAAAATTATCTCTTCTTCTCCTAATGTGTTATCCTCTTTATGTTATTTCTGAGCAGTGGAACCTCAGAGAGCAACAGTTAACAACTATGTGCATCCTAGTAGGACTGAAATTGCTCTCGAACGCCACAACATAAGATTTGTTTCAATAAGTTGTAATTTTTCCAACAACTATAATGTTACATATTTACGGTCACCAAAGATTTCTCTTTTCCCAACGTTCTCAAGGAACCCAAGAAGGTAAGCAGTTTCAAAAGGTTAAATGTGTATATAAAACCAAAGAATTGAAGAAACAGTACCTGATTGAGATTATTATCGCGAAGATGAGCGACTATGAGAGAATTAACATGACGGAACAATTTCCCGGCTTGCAATTTGTGCTCCAAGTTATCATTGTTATGGTTGCTCCCCATTTAACTTATTGTTGCCCTAATTTATTTAATGAAACAAACAGAAACAATACCCTCAGTATCTTTGTTGATTCACAAATTTGGCTTTGCAGTATTCGGGATTGAAAGAGAGAAAGCAATAATGGCAAACTGATAACCCTTGTCTTAAAGCTCGTACAGATTTTTGGAAGAGGAGGAAACTGAAGTACTATGAGCTTCAGAACTCTACCGCCGCCATTTGAGTACACTACAATACTTCTTGGCAGTCCAATTTGGATTTGCTTTTGCAATTGATTTAGGAAAAAGTTAATTTAGGTTTTCTTTTTAAAAAAATTGGAGTGATTTGGTTAAGTATTCAATAAGCAAGTTGCTATTAGTGATGGTATTAGTATAGTATCCGCGCGATGCGCCGATATTACAACTCCGAAATTGTTTAGGTAGTATTTAGTACTAATGAATTGCTTTGTCTTTATGAGTGAACTATAACTAAAAGAAAATGGGTGAGAAAACTTTTGGTTTGAAGAGTTGGAAATTTTCTTGGACGAAATCTTAGTAAGGCTGTCTATGACAATCCGAGAAAAGGATTGAGTAAAATGTCTAGGTAAAGTCTAATTCCCTTGTTGCTAAGACATTAAGAAGACAATATGGCTTTTCGAAAGTGAATTCGGGTGAATAGAACACCAATCTCAATGATGAAATTTTCGTGAAGGGGTTGGTTTGGAATGTCAAGATTTGAAGGTGCGTTGCGAAATAGGCTAATTTTGGAGGATTTACGAGTTTTTGTCTCGTGCAAACCGGTATAGTGGGTGATACGTTTCTATAGCGATGGATTTAATTCCCGTTACAACGGCGCTACCATAGCGAAATTAGGCCGCTATAATAGGTGATACGCTGCTATAGTGGTGGATCTAATTCCCGCTACAGCATCGCTGCTATAGCGGAATTGGACCGCTATAGCGGGGTTAGTCATAGTTAATGTAGAAAATCTCCCAAACCCGCTCATTAATTGGCAATTACGTTCTGGGGAAGAGCAGAGGAGACCTAGGGTGAATTTCATTTGTTTACCATCGTAATCATTTGTAAAGGTAAGTAAACTACTCCTCTAACTTGGTAATTCAATTCTAGAGCCTTAGAATATGTGGTATGATCATATGAGAGGGTTTCTTTAATTTAATGGTGGAAAAACACTGGTTTAGGTGGGATAATTATGAGAATGGTTTGGGGTTTGGGATAAGGATATAATTCGAGTGTATTTAAACCATTTAGGTCTGATTATGTGTTATATTGATTGTTTGTAGACCAAGAACATGTTACATATCACAACAAGGTGAAAATTCATGCTTGATTTGAGGTAAGTGATGGTTGTTTGATTCACGTGCTTGCTAACTAATTCATTAATATTATTTATATAAGGTATGGTTAAGAAAATCGAAGGAGTATAAACCAAAATGATTAACTTGTGGTCAATCACATTCAATGAATATGTTTACTTGAGTGTACAAGTGTGATTTTTATTCATTAAGATTGTGATTGTGATGTGTGATTGTTGGTTGGCTTAAGTACCACGTCTAGTACATACTAACGATTGGGCACCATGCCTAGTACATGATATCTATTGGTTGGCTCGAGTATCACACTTAATACATATTTGGTTGACTCGGGTACCATACCTAATATGGATTATCTATATGGTTGGCTCGAGTATCACGCCGATACAAATTACTATTGATTGACTCGGATACCATGTCTGGTACATGTGATTGTTTGTGTGTAGATTCCATGAGTGAATCAAGTTGGCTTGTTGTAATGTTGGTGATCACGTTTATTGCGTATATTATTTATTTAACTAAGTTGTGGTTACCTGTTTATATCTCATATATCTAGAGTTGGCCAATGATCCTACTAGTACACTATGGATTTTGTGTACTGATATTGCACTTTCTCTTTTTTGTTGAGCACAAGGCATATTTCGACGTCTTTGCGATTTGAGTTGCTTCGTCCAAGCCGCTATGGATTCCTCTTTTCCATGCAGTCCATTTTTTAGACTTAGACTCTATTGTTTTGGGGTTGCAACCCCACATTTTAGGCTATGTAGATATTTTGATACACGACTTTCAGGTTCTAGGGGGTTATTCCGTAGTGTTTTGTTGATTATGTCTTGAAATGTGACGTTGTGGTTTAATTTATAAAGACTATTTCCTTTTGAGTTGTTTGGTGTATTGCATGTTAGTAGAATAGTTGGTTCTCCCACCAAGGATTTAGTGTGGGTTCTTCTCGCGACGGGTTGAGTCGTGACAAAGTTGATATCAAAGTCCTAAGTTCGTTGATCTCATAGTACCAAAATAGATCTAGTAAATTCTTATGGAACGATATTGAGAAATACTTTTCTTCGAGGCCATATGACTTCAGGATATTTTCTTTTCGTGCCGTAACTTGTTTACGATTGGTATCTGGCAATTCAAATTGCACTAGACGAAACAGGGTGAGAGTACTAGCTCAAGCTATAGAATTGGTAGTGTGAGGGCGAGGAAAGGGTAGAGACAGAGGAAAGGGCAAAGGTAGAGGGAGAGAAACACCTGCTAGGGGTGGAGCTTACTGGCTGGGCCAAGGCCAGCAACCCCTCCCCCACCCAAGATTCATGCTAAGGAGAATGTGGAGGTAGATTTCGAGGAAGGTGTTGAACCTGAGATGGCAACATAGGTTGAGGGTGCAGGTCTTCCCTCTATGACTTATGAGGTCGTTCATCAAGTGTTGGCCTCTACAAGTTGGAGAGCTAGTACTGAGCCACTCCTACTGAGTCGACTACTCACGCTTCAGGTTCTCATCCCATTGCTACCATCGCTATCAAGATGGATGAAGTTTTGGGTCTAATGTGTTATTTTGTCCTATACTAGGCCTTGTCATGACCAAGACTAAGCATTAGTTGTTGACTAAGATGGTGTTTGGATTGACAGTTTTTTATTTCTGAAAGTGTTTGACAATTATAAAAATAACTTAAATAAATCAAAAATGACTAAAAATAAGTTAGAAGTAAAAAGTAGGGCCCCCCTACTTTTATTTTTTAACTTTAAAGTCATTTTAGTTTGACCAATGATATTACTTTTTATACCCTTAATTCTTTTAAATAATTCCAAATTTGCCCTTATGAAATAGAACTCTAACATCTCTTTTCCTCAACTTTCTTTGCTGATGCGGTGCTCCAATGCTCCAAAGCGTTAAAGCTCCAAAGCTCCCCCTACTTAGTTTTCTTGTTCTTCTTTAACATTTTAGTTTTCATTTCTTTTCACGAGACAAAAGTATCGACATTGAAGTAATTATTCTTCATTCTTTCTCGAGTTTTGTATTTTCTTTTCGGATTATGTATTTTTTATTTTTCTGTTTTCTTTTGTTGTTGCATCTAGTAATTTATAAGTTGACAACAACCCCTTGACATCCCCAAAATGATATTGTCTAATTTGTTGCACTTTTGGATTTGTTTAGTTTAAGTTTCTTTGGTTGTAATGGTATCCGCTCAACAACTAGATGTAGGAAAATAATGAACAATTAAGTTTTTCTTCATTCTCTCTCGATTTCTGTAATTTCTTCTTGGATTATGTACTTTTTTTTTTTATTTTTTGTTTTCTTTTGTTGTTGCAATGTTGTTTTTTGTATTTTAACTATGTATCAAATAATCTCTTTATTTAGTTAGTTGTAGTATATAATTTGATTGTGTGTAGTATATATTTGTCATATTTTATAAGATTATAGAAGTAGTTATTCTCAATTTTCTTATCAATTTTCATTTTCAGATCATTTACACCATGTCGTAAATTAATTTGAGATACACTAATGCTAAGTGGGATGATGATGCCCATCTCAAATTTATAGAGTTATGTGAATTGGAGATTACGAAAGGAACTAGACTAAATACTCATTTATCTAAAGATGGATGAAAAAATATGATCGATGAGTTCAATAAAAAGATGAAAAGACGCTATAAAAAAATAAATGAAAAATCATTGGAATAGCTTGAAAGTCGAGTGGACTCTTTTAAAGCAATTGATGAGAGGGGATACATGTATAGGATGGAATGCCACCAAAAATACAATTATGGCAGATGATGATTGGTGGAAGCGAAAAATTAAGGTACATTTCTCACATTGTTCTATATGTCTTTGTTATTTCTTTCATTGTTGAATTTTAATTTACCTAAATTTATTTTTTATCTTTTATTACGGGAGGATGTTCGATATAGAAAATTTAGGAATAAAGATCTTTTGCTCATATGATTTCTCTATGATGCATTATTTTCTGATATTGTTGCTACGGGAGAAAGAACACGTGTCGCAAATCAAGAATAATTTTTTTTAAAATAGGATAAATTAAAAAAAAAAGAATAAATGATATTGATGATGATGGTAGGGAACACTTTATTAATCCTAATGATGAAGGGGTGATTAAAGTGATGATCCACAAGATATGAATTCTACTATGTTTCCTAAGCCATCACTAAAAAGACAAATTTCAATTGATGGTATTGAAACTAGTAATCAACTAAAAAAAGTAAGACAAAATCAATTGTTGCATCAATGAAAGAGGATATGCACTTTTTAGTAGAGTTAATGTCTAACAAAAGTACTGCTACATCTCATGCCGTAGATGATCCCAACATTGTTATGTGTATGAATATTTTGGGAAGCATACCGAATATTTTTTGAAAAGGGTGAAATGTATAACTATTTTGTGAACATGTTTCTTAAAAAAGACATTCAACAAGTGTTTCTTAAGATGCCTACTGAAGAAGCTCCAAAGTCTTGGATTGAGTATTAACTATCAATTATACCTTAAGAAAGTGTGAAGAATGTATTGTTAGGGAAAAAATAATTTTATTATTTTATGTGTGACATTATGCTTGTACGCATAAACTTTATTTATTGTCTTTAATTTGGTTACTTGGATTTGATGTACTTGAGCTGAGGGTCTTTCGGAAACAGCCTCTCTACCTCCACGAGGTAGTGGCAAGGTCTGCGTACACTCTACCCTCCCCAGACCCCACCTAGTGGGATTTCACTGGGTATGTTGTTGTTGTTGTTGTCTTTAATTTGGTTTAGACATTATGGTTGTATAGTTAAACTTTTTAAAATTAGTTATGTAAATGTATTCATTATGTTGAATTTATGTAAATGTATTCGTTGTGTTGAATTTATATATAGGTGTTTGTTGTGTTGCATTCATATAAGTGTATTTGTTGTG